TGATAGGCTGCATTAATAGTGATGTGCAGTGGCAATAACTTTGCAGATCTTTGTCTGCTGATATGGCTCGTCCTTCAGCTGCCATGTGTCTGAATGTCATTGGCTCTTTATGCCATGCTGGATTCTAGCTGTCCTGGACCTCACCAGCTGGGTTATGTATTGGGCTCCAAGTGATGGGCTTGGGTTGTTCATAGTGATTCATTGCCTTTATGGGCCTATACACGTCACAATCCATTCGTTATTTGTAATTGTATTATGAATAATATGCATTACATAAAACCAAAGGGTTGCATAGTTTGCAAATATAATTACTGTGTTTAGTTTCAATTTTTTGGATTCAATTTTATGAAAATTGAGTTTTTTGGTTGTTTATATTTTTTTTTTTGTTTTTAATGAATATTTTTAAAATTTTAAACAAATTTTTTTTTATTTTTTAGGTGCATCTTACTTAGCTATATCCAAAAAGTAAAATATTTATAAAAAAATATTTTAAAAAATCAATAAATAAACAAGAATTGTTGGGAAAATAAGTTTATAAAGGCTTATTTTGGGCCATCTTTGAGCCCAAAATTGAGTAGGCCCCGAACGTCTTTTGGGGCGGGTCCGAAGAGGTGAAGTGTTCCTTGTCGCGTAACAAGTTACATGGTGAAGACGGTTCGTCAAAACCATTTATGAGTGAATGGGAATATGACGTCGTTTTTGGGTTCGTGGAATGGACATTTAAAATTTTTAATGTGTGTTTCTTTGTGAGGCTTGTCCCACATTGAAACTTTAAGAGAGTTTTGTTGAGTATATAAGTTATACCTTACAACACTTGGGTTGGGCCCCAAGTTTGTAAAAGGGAGAAGTTATGTACGAAGTGAACCTTAGCCCAAACCACCATACGTGCGCGTGCGCCGCCGCCCGTCTGGCCGAGCCGAGCCAGGCACGAGTGTGGGTCGATTCTTGTATTAATTTTTGGACAAAATTCATTTGAATTTTTTCAAAAAATATTGCGGGAATTTAATTCAAATTTGAATTCCAATTTTTGTCCTACATTTAAGTCTTTACTGTCCGGAATTCCTCTCAGATTCAAACTGAAAAACTGCCCAATAGATTCGGTTTTAACTGCCCAGCAGTTACAGATCTGTTACTTCCGAACAGATTCAAAACCTGGCAGCAAATCTGTTTGAACTCAAAACAGCATCTGTTCAAAATCTGTTTCACACCTGTTCACTTCTGTTGCACCTGTTCGGACAGGACCTTTTTTGCCTATAAATACCTACTGTTCTAGCAGTCTTTGGGATTCGAAAATCAGTCTGCAATTTTCATATTGCTGTCCAGAATTTTCTCATTTGCATTTTAATCTTCATTATAGTTTTAGAGATATAATAAAGAGAGTATAAGAACACAAGGTTCTAGTTCGCCGTACAAATTTGTGTGGAGTGCTATTACAAGTTTGTGAAGATCATTGTATCCTGGGAGATAGACGCCACTCAACCGTAAGCACCGTAGCGGGGCGAATCTGTCTTAAGGATAGAGTGTTACACACTCGACTTGGTCTTTAATTATTTAGTCGGTTCAACAAAATAAATTCTGTAAGTTTTATTTTATTTTGTTTGAATTAGTTTCAATTTATTTTATTTACACAGAAGATTGTTCCAACAAGAATACGAAAAATGTATTAAATTTTTGTATTTTTTTATATTTTTGATATTTAGTAAATTTTTTAAAGATTTTTTTTACAAATATTAGACTTTTTAAGTGTATTTATGTTATGTGTATCTAATTTTTTTTTTAAAAAAATTACTTAAAATGTTAAAAAAAAATCAGTAAAAACAAAAATAAAATACTGAAAATAAAAAGTTTCAATTTTCTAAAAAGTTATTTCAGAAAACTCAAGCCACACAAGCTGAATACTATTGATCTTATTTCAAATTTCCAGCATATGAAGAAAAGAAAAAGAAAAAAGAAAAGGGTTCCAAACAAAATCGAAGCAGAAGAGCTCTTTATAATTTGGGTTATGATATATTTGATCGAAGCAGAAGAGCTCTTTAAAATTGAAGCAGAAGAGCTCTTCAAAGAAAAGGGTTCCAAACAAAATTGGTGTTGTTTGGTATAGTTTATAGAGTTGCGTATAGGCTTTTTTTCTCTCCTTTAAAAAAAAAAAAAATTAATGCAGTTTTTACTTATAGCTAACAGAGCAAAAATTTAAACTGAAAAAATTGATTATAGGACAAATTACACTAATAGTCTTTATAATTTGGGTTATGATATATTTGATCTTGAATTTTGAATATTGTTCCAAATAAGGATAATTGAAGATACCATTACTCAATTTCAAGGGCAAAGTCGTCAATTTAATAAAATATAAACTAATTTGATAAAAATAAATGTCAAAAAAATATTTTTGATTTTTTAAAAATTCTTTCTACCCACCAAAGATAAAATTATGTAAAATAGATAAATCTTTTACACATTTATTTTTTTTTTACCAAATTAATTTTCATTATGTGTTTGGATGATGATCATGTAATGGATAGTTGCTAGGCTTTTAATGTGTAATCGATATATTTAATATATGAAATATTTTTAGTTTTAAATTTTTTGATTTAATGGATTGGTTTAATAATGATATCAAAGTTGTAGCCATATTTGACTTTTGAAAAAATAGAAACTAATTTAATGAAAATAAAAACAACCACCCATTACATGATCATTATCCAAACATATAATAAAAATTAATTTGTTAAAAAAAATAAATGTGTAAAAGATTTATCAATTTTACATAATTTTATCATTGGTGGGTAGAAACAATTTTTAAAAATTTAAAAATACTTTTGGCATTTATTTTTGTCAAATTAATTTATATTTTATCAAATTGACAACTTTACCCTTGAAATTGATTAATAGTATATTCAATTGTTCTTATTTGGAACAGGATTCAAAATTCAAGTCAAATGTGTCACAATTGAAAAGTCAGAAACTAAAATGACACAAGTCCTAAACTATAGAGACCTTTAGTATAATTGGCCCTGGAGAGGGAGTGCTTCTACCTTTTTTTTTCATTTATTATATTAGCCTATATATATTGAGTTAATTGGGCAGAATAGATACTTAAAAATTCTTTTAAGAGTGAATTTGAAATGTTCAAATGAACTTGAGATGACAGAAATATTCATACTAACTATGTAATGGAACCCCAGCCCACTTTATGCCCACCTCTAGTTTGGCTCCTGTCTCCGGTACAAGTTTGTGGAGTAGACTTGTGTAGCTCAAGTCCCATTTTGTTGATATGATTTATAAATTTTATAGGTCTTGGATATAAAGACACGCTAATATTTTAGCAAAAAAAATCTCTTTAGACATACTTCAATCTTATTTTGCCTGGCAAGATTTGAATCCCAACCTATACCATACGAGAAGGTTGAAAGAAAGTGCTCGTAAACTGCAAGCGCTAAGCAAGCCCATAACTGAGTTTCTATCCAATTCGTATTTATAATGAAAATTTTTCATTACATCATCTAATAATTGTGAAAAAATTCATGTTAATAGTTGTAATATTTTTTTAAAAAAATTTAAAATAGTGATAAGTTCATATAATTATTTTATAATTAGTAAATGATGTAATAATAAAAATATTCTATTACAAAATCTCAACTCATATTGACTTAGTGGTTCAGTTGGTGACATTAAACTATATTGTAAAGCTTGTTCTAAGCATATATATCCAAGGCAGGTCAATTCGTTTGGTGAAGCCCACTTCTTCTTCTTCACCTACTTTCTCCAATTTTCTTTCGCCACCCACCCACCTGTAATATTGTGAAAAAACTAAGCAATTTAAAATTTCCTATAAAAAAACAATAACAGTAATAATAATAAATAAATAAACAAAGAAAGAAAGTGGAAGAAAAAAAAAAAAACCCCACCTACAATTGCAATTTGGATATATTAAAATATTGAGATTAAAGTCACCCGAATTTGCAAATCAGAAATTAAAATACACTCATAAAATACACTCTCACTCTTTTTAGGAGTGTATATTTAGAAGCGTTGTTATTATCTTCTCTTTACATAAATTTTGTTTTTGGTTCATGCAAATTCAAATGCTCCACCTTGGACTCTATACATTTTAATTTACTTAATTCATTTCGATTAGGTCCTACGGCCAACTAGCAATTAAAAGATTTAATTTGGGTAAAGATTTTAAAATCTTAAAAAAATTTAAAAAAAAAGAAAGGAAAATTTTTAATACACATTGCACACACACATATCTCACCAAAGATCCTCTAGAGTGAAATTTCCCTAAAGTTTCCTAGAGTGCTACATTGTGTGGATGAGATTTACTGACAAGTCACATCAGAAAAATTGATGTGACTTGCCAGTAAATCTCAACCACACAATGTAGTACTCTAAGAAACTTTAGGAAAAAATCACTCTAGAGGATCCTTACTCCACATATCTACCTTTACATATTTTAATACATTATTTTTGAAAATTTTATTTTTGTGTATTTGGTATTGCATTGTTAGTTATAATACATTGTAATGTTAATTATAACATTATTTTTATTATGATCCCAGAGTTATTTAGTTATAATTCACATGATGTTTGATTACAACTCAATTTTTTTATTATTAATAAATATGACTAAAAGTTATGTTATTTATAATAATCAAAATTACAAATTAGGTAACTTAGCATATAACATTACCTATTCTCTTTTATACATGTATCAACCGTTCGTGGTTTTTTTAAATAAATAATAATTAAAAAAATAAAGAAAAGAAAAAGAGAGGAAGGGAGGGAGGTGGTTGAGGAATGAGGAGGAAGGAGGGAGACGACGCAGCCAAAAGAGAAGTAGGTCAGCGGGGACCCCAATAGATGGCCCCCAAACCCAATTGCCATTTCAAGAGAAAGAGAGAGCTCTCTCTCACCAACTCCCCTCCTACCTCCCCATCTCATGACAGGCCTTCCACACAACCCACCACCCCCCCACTATAAGAACAATTCCAATTCAGGTTCACTTCCCATACATATCTATTATTCAAAACCCAGAGATCAGAAGAAAAGAAAAAAAAAAACAGAGAGAAGAGATTTTGGTAATGGCGACCAATGCGGAAATCAATGGGCAAAATAAGGAGAACCAAGCTGGAAGGCACCAAGAAGTTGGCCACAAGAGTCTCTTGCAATCTGATGCCCTTTACCAGGTCTAACATTTTACTCAAAACCCTTCAATTTTTTCCCAATTTTAGTCTCTTTCTCTTCAATCTCTCTGCATATTTCATTGAATGCATATATGCTCTGTTCTGTTTCAGTACATACTTGAAACAAGCGTTTATCCAAGAGAGCCTGAACCCATGAAACAACTCCGACAGTTGACTGCAAACCACCCTTGGTCTCTCTCTCTCTCTGTATATATATATACATATGTCCACATGAGGTGTTTGTGGTTTGTGCTCTGAAAATTCATTTTGCAATGATGAAACAGGAACATCATGACAACCTCTGCTGATGAAGGCCAGTTCTTGAACATGCTCCTCAAGCTCATCAACGCCAAGAACACAATGGAAATAGGTGTTTACACCGGTTACTCTCTCCTCGCCACCGCCCTTGCTCTCCCCCATGACGGAAAGGTAAATCCAGAAAATAAAATGCGTAAATCAGATTAATTGGGTCAAATTTGGATCAACAACATAGGTGGCAAAATGTAAGATAAAATTGATTATGAATGCATCAGATATTGGCTATGGACATCAATCGCGAAAACTACGAATTGGGTCTCCCTATAATTCAAAAAGCCGGTGTAGCTCACAAGATTGATTTCAGAGAAGGCCCTGCCCTCCCTGTTCTCGACCAAATGATTGAGGATGTGAGTACCAAAATTTTTCCATAGTGCCTATAATTCTTCTGATTATCCTAAATGATTCATCTACTAATGTAACGTGTATGAATTGTTGTGCAGACTGAATATCATGGGTCGTTTGATTTCATTTTTGTGGATGCTGACAAGGACAACTACCTTAACTACCATAAGAGGCTGATTGATCTTGTGAAGGTCGGGGGATTGATTGGCTATGACAACACCCTCTGGAATGGAGCTGTGGTGGCACCACCTGATGCCCCGCTCAGGAAGTATGTCAGGTACTACAAGGATTTCGTGTTGGAGCTGAACAAGGCCTTGGCTGTTGATCCAAGGATTGAGATTTGCCAGCTTCCTGTTGGTGATGGGATCACTCTGTGCCGCCGCATCAGCTGATCATCAACCTGAACCAGGGCCAGGGGCATTGTTGTTGTTTACTTATATTTGTTTTCATTGTTCTCATTGTTCAGTAGTTCTGGATGTGAAGATTCCAAATTACAAAAAAAATCCCTGAGTTTAATGTGTTTTTCAATTTAAACATGGCATTTACCCTTCCCCCGCTTGTCAGGATTCTAATCCAGGCCCTTATTCCCCCTTAAAAACAGATCTCAAATGCTGGATTCTGGCAAGGAATTTAAACTTTAGACCAAGTGCTTAACAAGCACCTCAATCACTCTGCCATAATACGTCTAATCTCCACCCCCAAAAAAATATTTGAAATTGCCGCTTTGGAGATTTAAACTTAATTTAAATGTTACTTCTGTATCACAATTAACGCCCGTCTAATCTACGCCTCAAAACAATTAACGCCCCTCAAAACAATTAACGCCCCATCTAATCTCTGCCCCAGAAAAATATTTGAAATTGCTGCTTTGGAAATTTAAACTTTAGCCGTGCTTAACAAGCACCTTAACCATTCTGCCATAATAATTCTTGTGGTAAATAATTCTCAAACAAATTATTTAAAACATTTTAACTTGGTCTTCTTCAACCTTCCCTCCAGACTTAATTTTCCAACGACTTTCCAACGAATAAATTAAAAATTAATTTTTTATTTAGTGGGCAAAATTAGCTAAATTTAAATTTGATAGACCGATGTGAAATTTTATGTTATTTCATGTATTAGCCAACTAATTTGTTATGTTTTAGATATATATGGAGGATCCAAAAAATATACGTAAACTGAAAACAAAATGAAAAGAATTGAAAAACTCAATTAGTTAAATATGAAACATTTTAAATGTATATAAATTGAATGGATATAAATCCAAAAAGCAATTTTAAAATTTTAAAAACGTTCTTACGAACTAATATATACATACGAAACTCTTTCATAGATTATATTAAATCTACTTAGAAAGTACATTTCGATTACATATATAAAAAAAGTAAACAAAATAAAAATAAAATTAAAATTGACTATAATATTGTAAAAAATTTTGAGCATACCAAGAGGTGCGCCTTGATAAGGGAGTCTAGAACCAGAAAAATCGGCCCAGAAGGAGATCCCCGCGCAACTTGAAGTTTCGCTGAAAAGTCACCAGAAAGTTTGTTGTTCAGTCCAACAAACGAAGAAAAGGTTGAAGAAGACTAAGTTAAAATGGTTTAAATAATTTGTTTGAAAATCATTTACCACAAGAATTGCTATGGCCGAATGGTTAAGGTGCCCGTTAAATATTTTTTCCCAAGTTCAAATATTCAAAGTGACAATTTGAGATTATTTTTTTGGGACAAAGGCTAACACGTGGATGACATCAACGTGACATAGGACCAATGTTAGTAGACGTAGATGGATGTGAGAACTTAATTTTGATATGAAAGTAACATCAGAGTTTTAACAAAATCCTTATATTTAAATTGAAAAACACGCAAAATTCTAGAATTTTTTTTTTTTTTTTGTAATTTGCCCTATACATTATTTCTTCACGACACAATCAATTCCAACTTCACTCTTCTTAATTGGGACTTGAACTAAGCACCTACCTTCCTCAAGCGTAGGGAATGGCCCGGTTATTGGGCATTTACCCTTCCCCCGCTTGTCAGGATTCTAATCCAGGCCCTTATTCCCCCTTAAAAACAGATCTCAAATGCTGGATTCTGGCAAGGAAATCAATAACGCAATGTGAAGGTCCAAAACACACTATGCTTTCAAAATAATTCAGTGATTCCTATAAAGCAAAATGAGCCTAATACCTTCGAGAATACCAACAATCTGGTGAAAGCACAAAACAATTACCCAATTAGTCTAAAATTTTAAAATACAAACCATAAATACATTTGCAATTTATTTATTTATTTGAAAAAAAAAAAAAAAAAAACTACATCATGATAGCGGAGAACCTCTACTGAAGCAAAGCCGGATATTCTCCTACCATTTGCTGCTACTGCTACAGTCTCAAATGCCCCATCAGAAAACCTGGCAACAGACCAACAGAGATCATAATAGTTGAGCATGTATACAAATGCAACATAAATGAGAAGAGAAAAGGAAATGGAAAAGAAAATGAAGTCCAAGCTATTTTACCCCCCCCCCCCCTTATTTTTTTCGAGCATTGCCAAGTAATCAGAACTGAATCTTGGCTATGCTATGCAACTGGCACTCTGCAACAATATTATGTTTGGATCTTGAATTTGTAAAAACTTACTGTGTTTTTTGTTTGGTTGGATTAGGAAAATGAGAAGAAAGTTAATATATATTTGTTAAAAAAAAAAAAAGTCTTAATCATTTTGTTTAGTTACCTATAACAAATGAGTATGTACAAGTAATTCTATTTCCTTTTCGTTTTCTTTTCCCTCAAAAACCCCAAGATCCAAATGTAGCCTAAGAATTGAGCACACTTTTTTTGGGTACATAAGAGTGCTGAAGCCCCAAATACAAACTACTGCTACGCTAAGTTCCTTGACTCTCTAAGTCTGACATCATAACAGTTTGTAAGAATGCCAGAGCCTCATCAATGATCCAAAATCCCAGGGGTGACCAATTGTTTGCTTGGAAAGTCTGTTTGCACACTACTTGTCCTCATGCCACACATGAGCAAAACTTGGAAATCAACTCATCAGTAACAAATAGCAACCACACATGATGACGGCAATCTGGAATTACCTGGAATGATGATGAAAGGAGACATAATTTGAGCCGTGATGGTCATCTCAATGAACAATTGATTGGTGCAAGTTGATCATAAAAAGTCAATACGATGACCGAAAGGGAAGTGATGGAATTGATGAGGCTGAAATCCTTAAAAACCTAATGCACGTGAAAGATTTGACCCTCTGTAGGCTACAATGGCAGTACAGCAGAAGCACTTGCTGAGAATTCCTAATATTTGAGAAAGAGGGCATATGAATGCTTTCAAAATTTAAAGTTGAATTTGGATTAATATATGCCAAATAAGAGCTCCAGTGCTTTGCTGAACATCTTTGTTCTGAGGCATACCGAGCCTAAAACAACACCAACTAAGCATACTTGCAGTAACAATACTTTCAAGATGCTTTATCATTTACCCATATACATTTCATGTAAATAACAGGACACTTTATCAATGCCAAAATGGATTTCGAAGATGCGTAGTGTTTATAAACAAACAACCTGAGGAGGGACAAATCCCCATCACGGCAAACAAATGAAAGAAACAACATGGATCTAAAGCAAATTTAGTTAGACATGCATCGCATAACAACAAGATAATTATTTAATTACTGAGCAAAAAAATAGAAAAACAGAAATTATTTAATTATTAAGCACACTGCAGTATCCAAAGATTAGCAGAAAGTCTCGTAAAAATACCTGAAGCACGTGATGGCATCTTCTTGGTCTCTTTTGGCCACTCTTGACCTCAAATTCCTATGCAGTACCTCCCTTCTCTTAATCGTATTTCATAAATCTAGATAGCATTTCCTGACCTTCACTCTCTAAAGCAAACAAGCAGTATACCTATTCTAATGCTAAGAGTCCAAAATTGACGTACTAAGACACCAGAGGCCCACCCCCAAGGGTGCAGCTCATTAACCATCTACCTCAGAGATTTCCATTTATAGTTATAATAGAAACAGCATTAACATGAAATAAAACACGCAGAAAACCGAGGGACTTGTAACATTTACTGTAGAAGCAGATCCTGATAACTCCACAGATCCGGAAAAACTTCCAGCGGCAGAGGTTGGTGAAGTTCCATTAGATACTGGAATGCTTTTGCACACTCCAAAAGGTGATCCTGCCTGTGAAATCCCATCAAAGGTGTGATATAAGTCAGCACCAATATCATATTAAAAAATTCTGTCATTTTATGGAAGCAAGGAAATCTTTCCCCTAAGGAATCAAAACAGTCCCCTCAACTTATCTAAACCAGCAGAGCTTCATAGAATATCTACAAATCTTCATAGAAAATCTACAAATCTACAGGATCATCAAATCAAATTTATGTTTGTGTGCCATGGGTTTTCATATCAGGGTTTTTGAATACGAATTTGAGAATATCAAGTTGACTCTCGAGATTTTTTGAAATTATTGAGACTTGTTTCTAGGTTTATGTTGAAAAGAAGAAAAAAAAGAAAGAGAAATGCATTAAAAGGCATCAAACCCAAAAGTTTCATGCATTTCTTCAAATTGTAAGTTTCTTATTATTTTACCGTTTTAACTAAGAAAAAAATTTGGAGAACCAAGTTGTGAAACTTCCTAAAAACCATATTGAGGAAGAACTCCTGCTTCATCCCATCTTGGTACCAACATTTCCTTTGCATGTAAGTAAAATAGGAAAAAAACAAGAATTTAAAGTTTGGCAAATAAATTTGTGGGAAATTTAGTCAAAATACCTCCATCGGACCCTTGTTTGGTGAAAAGGACAATCCAATTTATTTTTCTTCATAAACTCCCTAAGGAGAAAATACATAATTGAGAAAGGACAAAGTAAAATATATATATTTTTTTTTCCCTTCTTAGACAATATTGCCAGAGTAACATATTACTGTGAACCAGAGTAACATGTTACTGCCAAATAGAGTAATTGTCAAACAGAGTAACTGTTGAGTTTGACACGTCGGTAGACCTAGAAACACAACCTTTATTGATAACACTCTAGTACACAAAACACTTGTATACAATCACATACTAATACACTTCACTTATCCACTCACACATACATTCAAGCACTCACACTTTGTATCTTCCTCACACAAGACCTTGAGACCCCTTCCACTAGATAGTGCTTAACCACTTGCTTTGGACTCACTCTTCTTTCACTCAATTGTCCAATTGCTTAGTACACACTAGATAGTGCTTGACCACTCACTTTGGACCCACTCTTCTTTCACTCAATTGTCCAATTGTCCAATTGGTTAGTATATGCACTTATCTCATATTTATACTAGTTAAAAAACTTTCTAGAATACACTTATACTCTCCCTACACTCTAGAACAATCTAGATTACTCTAGTACATATTAGAGCTTTCTATTCTTCTCTAAAATATTCTAAAACCTTCCGAAACTTTCTAGATTTCTCTAGTTTTCCAAACTTCTTTAATGTTCCAGAACCTTCTAGGATATTCTAGAATCTTCCGAATTTCTCTAAGTCTTTCCAAAATCTTCTAGATCGTTTCGGAGTATTTTAGATTTATGTGAAAACTTCTAGAATATTCTAGAGAGAGAAGATTCTAGAAAGTGAGAAGAGGTAGTGATGACTCTCAACAGTAACATGTTACTGTGAGACACAGTAACATGTTATTATCAAATAGAGTAACATATTACTGTTACTGTTTACATCAATTTTAATGGTAATAATTTTATTTATTTATTTATTTTATTTTTTATAGAATTTCATAGTCAACATCGATCTTATTTGATAGATCTTAATTAGAAAATTCTAAAAATATTAATTTTGTTAAAAACCGACATTTACATCAAAAGTTATATTATTTTAAAGTTTAATATTTTAATAATGGTGATATTTGTTGGAATTTTCGGGGAAAACTTTTTGTGCTTGTCCTTAAAAAACCCCCAATATTTGTAACCCCTCAACCTGCATTTGGATAGGCACTCCAAATCAAATCAATGTAATACACCAGTGGAACATTTAGGCCAGTTTTTAGAAAGCTTGAAAAAGAACCAAGGGGGGAGTTGATTGAGTTACCTTTCTCTTTTTTCTCAATTAACCAAACATCACTGAAGAATTTGGAAAATTGGTAAATCTAAATAAGGAAATAAAACAGTTGAAAACTTCATGATGTCCAAAGTTAGCAATAAACTGTGTAATTCAAACAGAGTTGAATATATTGTAAACCAAACCAAACCAAACCAAGTCTTAAGTCCCATCAAATGGGGTCGGCTACATAAATCCTTCTTCTCCACGCGGCCTTATCAAAGGTCATTTCATTAGTCAAATTAAGTAGATTCATATCTCTATTTAAAACGCTAGTCAACGTTAATCTAGGCCTACCCCGTCCCCTAACACTTTCATCTACCGTTATAGCATTGCATCTCTTCATTACTGCCTCTGTTGGTCTCCGTTGAATATGACCAAACCATCTCAAACGATTCTCTCTCAACTTATCTTCTATCGGTGCTAGTCCTACCCATTCCCGAATATACTCATTTCTAATCCTGTCCTGTCTTGTCTAGTCTTACCACATATCCACCTTAATATTCTCATCTCAGCCACACTCATCTTATCTACATGTTGTTTCTTGGTTGCCCAACACTCCGTCCCATACAACATAGCTGGTCTAATAGCCATTCTATAAAACTTACCTTTTAGTTTAGTGGGTATTTATTTATCGCACAACACCCCAGACACACTTCTCCACTTACACCATGAGAATTAACTTGGGAACACAAATCATGAGAAGAAGTCAGAATGCGAAAGAGTTTACAAAGTAAACTGATAAGTTTAATGAAAGCAGTGGTGTTTCAACCAAGAAATATGGAGCTGTGGATAAACCTGGCAAGCAGTGACAGAACTGCATCCACACAATGTCTGGCCATTCATTCGATCCAGAGCATCAAAAACACCTCCTCCATCACTCCTCTGCATAATTACAAGTCAGAATGATTAATTGGAATACATATATACATTCTATTTTCAAAGACTTAAATTTTCAATACCATGTAAAAGTTCACCGCCAAAAAGTTAGGCATCACATTCTTTGCTGCTTTGTAACAGGTACCAACCATATCAGCAAGAGGACCTGAATGCTCTTTGCAAGTATCAGCTTGAACTGGGATTGTCGGGAAGTAATTCTGTAGGAAAAGAGACGCACTCCTCGAATTGAGCGTCTGCGATTCCTTTCTGTTCGGGCAAGAGCCTTGTACCACACCACCATCCCCAGCTGAAACCCATTACAAGGTTGATACTGATCAAAGCACAAAAACAAATTCTCAAAATAGTAGTCTGACTTATGCGATACTCACGTTCATTTTCCACCATGTACCTCCACTGATACGCAATTCCTTCACTTGCTTCCTTTGAAAAATCAGAAGTGAAAACCAGTAACCGGTGATTCTTTCGGACCATATCAGTCACAGTGGGCCAATCATGTCCCTTCTTTGGCATTTTAGATACAGGAAACCAATACTTGTCTAACCCCGCATTAGTGAACAGCTTTGTTAACCCTTTTGGAGTATGCACATAATCTTCAATTATAATGGTTACAATTTCTGTTGGATTTGCGCCTAAGAACGATTCTACTTCCTTCAAGGTGTTAATTGCAGGTTGCTGCAAACATTTTAATGGCACACAATGATTCACAAAAGAAATGATGGTAAGTGTTAATATAATATTGCCAATTGTATAGCTTTCTCTTTTCTCTTTTTGCTTTCGGTGGTAATGCCCATCATTTGGAATCCAATGTATATTGCTTCTCTCTATAAAGAGAGAGTTGATTTCTCTTGTAATTACATCACATACAATACAGATACACAACAAGCATACATTATTCAATAATACAATTCTCTATTTATTTTTATACATTTATTCTAACTGTAAGAACATCAAATTAATGAGAAGGGATGGATGGTTGATTACAAAGGCGGTGAAGTTGTAACACTGTCCACGAAATGAATGGCAGAGCCAGATATCGTTCTCGAAGTCATACATATCCAACATCAGCCCTCTCACTCCATTCTAAACAAAACCCAAAAAAGAAAAAAGACATGAATGAATGAATAAACAGAAGAGAAAGATGTGTGTTTGATTCAGTGGAAAATGGAAGTTAGGGAAGAAGAAGAACAGGAATCACATACAGTCAATTGATTAGTAACAGTGTCTTCTTGATTGTAGAATGTAATTCTCTGAGCACCGGTCAATGAAGGGGCATCAACAATGGAAAACGAATTATGGGTGACCAACCATGAGTACTTGTTGAAGGGCAAACCATTGATCTGCTCATCACCAGAGTTCGATTGAAACAGAGAATAAGAAGAGAAAATCACAGAATTGGAAGGAAAGAGAAACATAAATTGAAGGAGCTTACAATAGAGGTGGGAATTATAGCTTGGCCTCTGGTGCAGACAGGTTGATTCTTATTCATTGAGGGGCAATTGCCACAGTAGAGAGAAGAAGCACAGTCGGTCGGAGAAGAACACGAGTCTAGAAGCTGTGTAGTTATTGGAAGTAAGTTCAATTACCCAGAAGAGAGTGAAATTTACAGATCCATATATATATATACATGTTGAGAGAGAGAAAGAGAGAGACAGAGAGAGAAACCTGGCAATTTCTATTGGAGCAAGCAGTAGAAGTGATGGAGAAAACCGAAAAAAGGAGGAGTGAGTGAAAGAGGCACCAATTTGCAGGAGCTCTGCATCTGCTTATACGCTTCTTCGCAAAAAACACCAACATGGTTACTGCATATGCAGAGAGAGAGAGAGAGAGTGTGTACTAAAAAATCTCACCTCCTCCTCTGGTAGAGAGAAAGAGAGAGAGAGAGAGAGAGAGAAAGGCAGCTTCACACACACACACACGCGGGTGAAGAAGGAGGTGCCAGTTTTCGTGTTTCAACGGCGGGCTTTATCAACTTTAATTTCTTTTTTTTCATTTTCTTTTCTTTTTTATGTCATTAAATTAAGAATAAATTATACTAATATTTCCTTAATTTTTTTTTAAAAAAAATACAGTAATTTTAATAATTTTGACATAATTATATTGATATTTCTTTTAATAATGTTAAATTGATCAAAATTAATTAAAATTGTGTGAAAACATAAAAATAAATAATGTAAATTATATATTTTCATGTAAAAAATATAATAATATCATTTTTTATTCATACAACTAATAAATTATTGAAAAAAGGAGATTAAGTGTTATATTATATGAATTAATTTTTTTTAAAAAAAAACTCAATATAATTATGTCAAAATTGTTAAATTTATTATATTTTTTTAAAACTTTAAGAATAGTCAATATAATTTTAAAAAAATTACGTTTCATAATGGTTTTTTTATAAATTATTATACATTAGTTGAAATTTTTATCATTTTAACGATTAATATTTACTATTTTTTTTTTGACATTCATTGTGTTGTAATTTCTCATATAATTTATCCCGAAAGTTTTTGATAGTTCGAATTGAGTTGTTTCGAATAGCTTGAATCATTGGTCACCTACTGACCGATTGAACGACCGGATGAAATATTTGTCTATTACAACTATCAACCTTTTTATCAAATGACGGTCAAAATAAAATTCGAACTATTGAGGCAAAACACAAATTCGAATTACGCAACAACAGAGCTTAAATTAATCTTTTATTATCGGGACATTTGATGGGAAACTTGAAACGACGTATTCGGGGATTGGTGTGTTATTTGGTTCTTCCAAGCACGGCAGTGTTCTGTGTAAGTGTGCAGGATGCAAATTTGTAAATTGCTTTCATCTTTGGGTAATATTAAGGACGTTAAATTTTTTATCAATTAAATAATTAAATATTTTATATAGGTATGAGATTTATAATTTTATAAATTCCTAATAGACCCATACTCATCTAAAATATTTGATCATTTATTTTATAAAAAATTTAAGACATATAACATTTTCCTTCATCATCTATGCTAGTACATTATTTGCCCAATAATATTTTGCCTTAATTTCTTTCATTTTTTCATTTTTTATTTTTAAATATTTTTTTTGCTTTTTTTCATTGGTAGATCACTTTTTTTATGTGGTGTTCACGTGGTGGGGCATGGTGATTCTGCTTCTAGCAGGCTGCAACACTATTGTGCAGTGGTGTTGTGCCCTGTGCTGTCTACTAGCCTTGTGTGAACTCATCTGTAGAATTCAATGTATGCACAGCCACACTAGCGTGAGAATGTTAGCCTGGTGGTGGGCCTCAGTCCCATATTATTTGGTGATCCAGTGGACATTCGTTGAAATTTTTAGGTGACTTTTATTTATCCAAAATGTTGGAAATTTTAAATTTTTTATCAAATATTTATATGTGTGTAAATTTCACATGAGTATAAATCTCATATCCATGTAAGTTTGTAGTAAAAAAAATTGAAGTTTATTTTATATTATTATTAATTTTAGGTCATCGGCTCTTTGTCATAGCGATAAAATAGATTGAAATTCATCAATCCTAAGAATGGTGTTTGTAACGCTCCAACTTTCAAGCCGTTAATAAATCAAATCAACCTCAAATTTAAAATTCTAACTAATTAATGACTTCAAAAATACAAATTGGATAAAAAATAATTACATAAAAGTTTATAATTTATAATTTATACAAATCTCCAAAAACAATATATAGCGGTGAGCCCAAAAATCTCAAACTCAATAATCCTTTAAATGTTTCAACTCCAATCGCCACTAGATTTGCTCTACACTTGAAAAATAAATTAATTCAGGAAGTATACAATACGATAGGAATAACAATGCTCGAATAGAAAATAAATCAACAGGGATCCAATAATTTACGACATGGCACAAATGATTCGATTTGAGATACTAAGTAATTTACCAAATTGCACAAACAAGTCAACCCGACATATGATAATTTATCCAGAACCAAATACTCGGTTCTATTCAGTACATGATCAGTGATCGAACTCACCCACCTCACCCAAGCACAACCGCTTGTCCGGACTATTAGTCCAAGCTATTGACAAAGTCCACTCGATCCATGTACGAAAATTTTCACATTATTTAGCCAGACAAATCAACACTAACTACACAGAACAACTTCACAGAATTTATCAAATAACTAAAATAATCAAACGTATCAACAAGAATGATTTTAGAGAATTTAACATATGACCAAGATAATTAAAAAAAGTACAAATGTGAAGTAATTAAGATAAAAACTTTTTACAAAGAGATTTAGAGGAAGCATATTATATACCACCTGAATTACCTCAAAAAAATTCCGCGACCACTTGCAAAATCTCTCCATCACCAATACTTTAATCATCTGTTATATTACCATAAATCTCCAAAGGTTGTGGATCTAAAAAGTATGTAAAGTTTAACAAAATTTACAACTCTCTTCTTAAATAAAATGTTAACTCTCACTCTAAATACTCCCAATCCAAACTCAGTAATTCTATAATTAAGAGAGAGAGAGAGAGAGATATATATATGGATGGACGATAAGAAGAATGGAAAGAAGTTGAGAGAATGAGTTCTAATTTGTAGGCAAAATAAAGAATAGCCTCCAAATAAATTTGGAGAGAAAGAAAGATAATTGACTTGTAAACAAAAAAAAGGTTACTTGGAGGGAAAGAAAAGAATCTTTGGTTGGAGCCCAAGCAAGATAAAAAAAAAAATAAACAAAAGAGATGAAATTGAGGTAAAAAAAATATAAAAACAACTAGAGAAAATAAGTTAGGTTTTTATCCAAAAATCTCACAATTAAACTATCACAAATATCTCTCACTAAAATATTAATATCTAAAAAATATAGAATTTCACAACATTAGTGACCTGAAGAGTTGACGACAACATGGAGGGACATTTTGCATTAGTCTTGAGATTAATTAAGATGAGCGTAACCAATCAAAAAAAAAAAAAAAAAAGCTTTTCTATTAACTTCTGAATAAATAAGAACTTTTCTAGTTACAGCAAAGAAAAATTTTCACCCTTTCTATACTTTTATTGACAATAAATAAATAAATAAATAAATTGCACTTTACTTTTTTTATATTTTCACTTTCTCATTTTGACCCCTTAAAGTTTATTTTTTTCACTTTGACATTTCATACTTCAAATTTTTCAATTTTGCTCATAAGTTAATTTCTATTTAAAATTAGACAAAAAATAATACATTGTCAATCACATAACATAAAAATATTTTATTATATATAACTCGCACCAATGATAAAAACTTAAATTTTAATATAACAATGACGGTATTGGGAAAGTGATTGTAGCCTCACTTAAACAAATAATTAAAAAGTTTTACTGGAGCTGAGGTTTGGCACAAGGTTCATGGCTGTGCAGGATAGAGGGTGAAATTACGATTTTGTCTTCTAATTTTTGAGTAACACACCAACTTTGCAATCCAACACATAGGGACAATTTGGTCATTTTCTATCACAACACATCACATAAGCACGTCAAGAACAACTTTTTGGGAGTAATTTAGCCACCGTTTGGAAAGTGGGTTAGCTTTTTGACTTTTTGACTTTTTTAACTATATGAGCTTGGGCTCAAAAGCTTAGTTTGGGAAGGGCTTTTGACTTTTTGGTTTTTTTGATTTTTTTGTGAGAGAAGAGTGTAATGATTATGGGGTTGGATGAGATGTTTTGCCTGTTGTGACTCATGAGCCTATTCTGTTTTTTATGGCTCATTGAGCCAAAAAAGCCCAATGAGCCCTTGTCAAACCAACCCTTAATTATTTTTTATTTCAATCTCATTCTAAACACATTTTTCAATATAACAATTAAACAAAAAATTCAATCCATATTTTTAAATATAAAAATTAAAATAGCTTATTAAAATATTCAAGTAGTCAAAAAATCTAAAAAATAATTATTTTTCAAATGAGGCCAATATATATTTTTATATTATATGACATTTACAGTGACATTTTCTGTATAATTTTAAATAAAAAGTTAATTTTAAAAATAAAATAATAAAAATTTAAGATATAAAAGATGAAAGTAAAAAAAAGTAGCTAAACACAAAAGAAGTAAGGTATAATTTACCCCAAAAAAAAAGGTGCCCACCACCAATGTCTTAACTAACCAACCAATTGGATCAGCATTTTCAGAAATACAACAGTAAATTTTACCTAATACAGTGTTCCCAACTTTTTGGGTAAGTAGTGTTCCCAACTTAGCATCACATTAAAATGGGAAAGGCTTGTCATAGTTAAGTCTACTTTTCTTTTTTGGTTACTAAAGGAACAAAAGAACAAGAAACAAAAGAAGACTGTTTAGGTGGCCTACAAAACAGGACTCCCGCCCAATACGCCAGGAGGATGGGACCAATACCTGCAGATGAACTTCAATTGAGACCAAATCTTGGTTGCCTGGCCACCCAAATTGGCAATCAAGTCACTATTCAGGGCAGAAGGAAGAACAATTTGGTTGGTAAGAAAAATTGTAAATAAAGTGAGAAAGTTCTAAAATAATTGTATTATAGCTGATTTTTTTTTAGAGGGATGCTATTAGCATTTGTCTAAATTTTTCCAACTCCCATTTCTTTGAGCACCAATCTAAATCCTAAATTTTAATAAGATTTTTTTAAACACTTTATTTAATACTAAATTTATCCCTATTCATAATATTATCACACCCAAGCACACCTACCTAACTTTGCATACTCTCACTCCTCCTTCTTTTGATGACAATCTATCTCTGGTTGAAAATAATGCCGACGGTTATTGTATCAATAAATACTATTGCCTCAGTGAAAAGTATTGCACCGACATTCCATCATTGAAATTCTTGTCGACTCTCAATGAAAGGAATCAATTTGACGATGTCCAAAGAATACCGTCTGAAAACTCGTCGAAAATTCATATCCACT